ATTCTCGACAACTGTAATTTATACTATTAGCGTACTAGCTTTTACTGTATCGCATTGCTAAAAAAAGTTCATAGACAGCTCTTCCAAAGTAGATCCAGATTTCTGTGGTCAAAGTTCAGCTGGTCTTATTTTGAGCATCTTAGAAAGTAGCACTTTCAGAGAATATGTGATATCAAAATGGACGTCAGAAGCGTACTATCAGATCATATCTTGAGTATTTCACAACTATTAGGTGACTATAGGCACTACTCTTACTTGTGGACATTACACTTAATTAATAAATATCAGCAAAAATATTAATCATTTCTCGTGCTGCCCAAATATCTTTGCCAAATTCAAAACGGAAATTCGGACGTATCTACATTTTTTTCATTTTCTGTCTCATATTTCTCTTGTATTTCGCGAATCATATGAATGAATTCACCTGAAAGAATAGAGACTTATACTTAGTTGCCATTTCTTATTGAGCGCAAACTGAAACTGCTCCTGAAATCAGAAGGGTTCACACCCTACGTGCATATTCTGCCTCTGTCTTTCTCACAATTTCGGTTACTTCCGGCGTTTCAAAAAGGTTTGTGAATAAGCAAATGTACAATAGGAAGCTTGAAGATTCGGATGATGTATCTCAGGAAGCGTTAATTCATTAGATAGGTATCTTTGTGAGATCATTTGCGAAAGTAATACCGCCTACCCACATAGTGAAGTTATCACGACCTGCCACTATGCAGGTATCTTTCATAAGTTTCAACTTTCAAAAGCCCTCACCTCCATGTAGAATGTTGAAGCCAAATTTGGCCTTAGTACTTTGCTGGTTCGTAGGCGGCGCTATGAAATGAACGCCAATCTATTTCAGTTTGTCGTGTGATAAGAGAATTATTATGTAGCATCGAAATTATTGTTCTCCACGTTAGTTGATTCGGGAAGTAGACGGTACGATATGTTTCTCATTATTTTTGTATGTGAAAAATGATGAGAAATGATCAGGGAAACCGGAGATCAAAACCCTGGACTCTACTCTAACTGCAACAGTGAAGAAATGGAGATCTTCACGCCATTGGGAATGGGTGGTTAGCATGTATGATTCAAGAGTGAATGGGGAAGACCACTGAGGGAAGAAATCCGTGCAAACCTCTTTCAATCGACGAATCATGATTTACATTTTATGTAAAATCAATATTATGAGTTGAAGTTGAAGGAAATCGAATCTATATCGTGTTGCAATCAGCATATTTCATTCGATATTTCAAACAGCCAAATATGATGGTGGAGTCGTGAGTCGTGACGTATTAGTCCCGAACTGTAGCTATCTCTCTCTGATACCTCTTCATTTTGCAGTGTTGCAGTGTAATTGGTCAGTTCAAGGACAATAGGCGTGTTGGGACTGAAACGTCGCAACAGCCACACCAATGAATTGATGGCACAGGAATTGTGTGTTTTGAAATGGACATATACTAATTTATTTTTTTCATCGTCTCAGCATGAATGAAAAAATTCAAAATTAATTCACTGGTAGTTTTTCAGTATAGAGTTCACGATGATGTCGTTTTGAAAAATCAGTGGTCTTCCCCATTAGGATACAGATGATCATGGTACCGAAGGCCGAAGGTACCATAATTATGAAAGTAGCTCCACTATATTGTTTTGGAATGAAACAGAGAACAATCGGAATCGAAATATATGTACTTATACATACTGTCATATCCTGAACATTAACACTGTTTATTATCAATGGTTCCCAGAATAGTTATAAAACATTGTAAATATTCTGTTTTTCTCCTGAATTTTCGATATTTAATTCACAATATCAGCAACTGGACGACACTTTTTTCGTCCAGTTTCACTAAACAAAGTTCAGCATTGTTCTTGAACATAATAATATATATGCATCAATTTTTTTATATAGTATTATAATGACCTGTGCACATAAATCAAAGTTGATAGAAAACAAACCTGACCTCAGTTGACTCGTGATCTTTTTATAGGTTATGTTGATATCGTCTGTTGCGAATTCAATTAATTACTGATTATGCTATTGATTATGGCGAAGTTAATTTCCATATTATCTAAAAGTGACAATTCAGATCACATGTAGCTTGAATTGATTCCAATATCTGAAAGAAATTGATTGATGTGTTATCTAAATATATACTGTAATCCACATGCAATAAAATACAGAGTGATCCTCTTGGGTAACCTGATCGGCATCGACATAATTATTTCATATAATCAAGTTTTAGTAACGAATATATTACTTTCTCTTGAATGATTACGTTCTTGATAAGTTCGATTTTCCTTATATATGATTATTTTGATTATCTCAATACTACTGAAAAATATAACTGTGATATTTTGTCGGTTCACGGAGATGATTATAGTCTGCATTGAAGCGAACAGCATATCAAGTTATTTCGATAGTCATACAGGGTCGTACATAGGTTGATGACTATAGATAACGAAATTGATATAACTATTTTTCAGCAGACACTGACCAAATTTTAATACATCTCTGAATTCCACCGGTCACTACCTGGCTTCCCTGATTATTTCGATATTCCGTTTTTTCCCAAGATTTTTGATAAAATCAAATTTTACCAGAAAATTGATAGTTTTAATGATTTCCATCATCTATTACGGATTAAGTCGAAGAAAAAAGTTCTTCACGGTTGATGAATACTCTATATACAATATTACAAACTCATTATTCATATGATCGCAATTTTCTGAAGTAAATCAGTATAGGAACCTGCACGAGTTTCAATATAGGCATCAAATATGTAATTTGAATTGCATCGAATGAGCATTTCAAATTGCAACAAATTGAATCTTATCAAATAGGTATTTCGCAAATCAGACAAAAGTAATCAAGAGGGCAAAAATTTCAATTCCTGACAAAAACCTCAACGATCTCTCTTTACGTTTGAGTCACACTGTACAATCTGTACCTCTTTTTAAGTTTATGTCCTCTTCAGTTGTTTTCTGCAGCTCAAGCGTATATTATATTTATAATTATTTCATTCAACGTTACACAACAGAGCAATATCCATAACAATAATGGCACTGTTATCAATTGTTTATTTTCGAAGCCGTCAGAACTTATCTACATTTGGCGTCGGCCACCCGGAAAAATTGCTAAGGCAATTATTTTTTCTCACATATTTTCCACATCATAAGTCAAATCATACATCATGTATCGAATTCATTTGCTTGATTTCATGCATACTTATGGAATTCGCATATCAGCATCGAACTGGTACTGGTACTGGTGGGGAACGTTTGCACGTCAGCAACTAGTCCCTAATGGGACCTTTCGGACGATGCTTTCGGCAAGCCCCAAGGTGTTTTTACTGCCTGATGTGGTTCGCTTAAGAGAGCTAGCTGGCTAAAATCCATTGCAGGTACCGTCCATCAGCTCTCTTTCAGATTTTTTTGGCTGTGTTTTGTAGGCTAGTAATGTACTCACTACCATATGATGCAGTGGCAGGTCTGCCAGCTACATCGTTAACCCCCGTTAGAGACCGAGGTCCACTAAGCAGCATTGGCCCGCTCTCACGCTCAGCTGGTAGTTTTCTGTGTAGGCTTTGTTACTAATTCAATGCGCCACTAGGAGCAGCAATGTCAATTGGATGTCGATGCTCCGAAACTTTACAATATTTGATTCGTGAATAAAATATTGAAAAAAGTTCCTTGCTATCAGCATCGAAAATTTCCCAATCCCAACTCAATATCATACCTGGTAACACTTGGAACTGCATCTCATTCAATATATACTACAACTTGGGAAATTATTTTCAATACATCTGACTGGGAACCTGCTGGATAAAAATAAATGTTACTATCTGTCTTTTGAACTTTCCGAATCCACTTACAATTTCAAATTCGTCTCCATATTCCTCAACTAACTGCTCGTGATTGAGAATATTATTCAAAATGAAATATAATAAATGAAACCTAACCTGACGTCTTTCGTCGAGATTAGTTTTTGATGAAGTAGTAGGTTTAGAAACATACTGAACTAACTGAGGGTATCTTAACAATTTTCTCCGAAATGATCCATCTTGAAGGAAAAATGTATTATATCTGATATTATCAACGAAATGAATTGCACACACTGCAGAATGTTGAGATGGGGTCCAATTTTGACGAAGTATATTGCAGATATTGAAGTTCTTCATCTTTAGAAAATGTAATAATCGGAACATACTTCTTTTCCGAAGCGTAATTTTTCTTACACCCTGTCACACAACAATGATTAGGCATGTTGTTATAAAAATGTTTCCACCAATATATGAGAACAACAAAATATAACCTCAAAATCTATTTCGATGGACTCCAACACACACACAAACACCCTTTCACTTATAACTCGATCCCCAGAATATTCCTTACAGTTTTCACTGGCTTTCAACGATATCTCACATTGACCATTCAATTCATGTATGAAAAATCCCACCAGCCGCGTGATTTTGTCATTATGACAGCGAAAGAAGTGTGCCCTTTTTCAGGGACAACAACGAACGGAGCCTAACTTTTGAAAGCATGACAACCATCAGCCATAAACAAAATATGTTTGATGAATTGAGTTGTCTTACCAAATTATACTCTAGCTTTTTTTTCAGTCGTAGTGAACTTGGCATTTATAATTCGGATTCTGTTGCCATTACGTAATTCAACTCAAAAAACTACCAGGCAACAGAATTCCTATTGATACCTGTCAAGTTTACTTCGACAAAGAAAAGCTCTCGTGTAATTAAAAGTGATAACACATCAATTTATTCTTGAAAACTAAACAAATTCACTCCGTTGCATTCACCGACCGTTTATCGTGTATGTGTAAATGGCCGGTGCAGGGATTTTCGAACAGTGTTGCCTATCTCAGCACGGCTTCATTCAGAGGCGGTTATGATTACGGGCAACTGGCCCTCAATGCAACTTCCTTCACTCGGATAAAAAGCAACGATATAACGTGACCGATTTCATCTCAGATTTTGTTTTCATTCCAGAGTCGTCAGGACCTATCTACGTCTGGCACAGAGGCGGGCCACCCCGAGAAACTACCAAAGACCAGGCCCTCGAACCCGCGGCCCCGACCGACGCACTCCGACTCTGTGATGACACAGAGCTGCCCCACTCCGCCCCAGGCGCGGAAGAAATTCTTCCTCAACTCGAAGGTGCTCAGGAGTCCGCTGCTGAGCAGGAGCAGCAAGCAGCAGGAGACGGCGTTGTCGGGTAGGTGCATCCTGTCGTCAACGATTAGGGATGGTTGATACCATAATACCTGCTTTTACTTGAAACAGATACGTACTGTTACTGTGACAGAGACGTAACTGTTCCAAATACCAGTTACAAAATACTCGCGATAACGTGAATGGAGTGATTAGAGACTATTATCGTGCAAGAACTGTCAGATGACCGACCCTGTTTACAAGTGATTGGAATAGCTTTTCACAAATATTTTGGCAAACGAATCGTGTTTTCTGACTCTTCATTAATTCGCGCATGCCATCACATTGTGCTGTTGTACAATGCACAAAAAATACAGTGGAAAACGAAGGAATCCAGTTGGTACATTATTATTTAGAAGTAAGTACCTACTATAGTCACTCACATATAGTTTTCATTTCGAAATTGGGTTATTTCTCTTGATTTCTCATCGGAATTCCTTCTGCAATAGGGGCTTATAGAAATACTCGTGAAATTTCTGATATAATGCAAGAAAATTGGATTCATGAAGGATGATTCATGATGCAATCAAACGGGAGGACTGGTCTGACAAGCTGACGAAATATGATCGTGTGTGTTGTAGACATTTTCAATCTATTAGCAGTATTAGCTTGTATTGCAGAAGTGGCAGAAGAAATTTCAATAATAAATGACAAAATTTTATATTGAAAACTATGTGAGATTACTATTTACCTGAAGAATCATATTCCTTCGTCTCTCTGCATTTTTTGTGTGTTGTACAACAGCACAATGAGAAGGCATGCCTTAATTAATGAATAGCGCAAAAAACAAAATTAGCATGGCAAAATACTGTGAACATCTATTTCAATCCTTTGATTCCTCTGTTAACTAATAAAAAAAGTGAGGTTGTATTTCACTGTTTTACAGAAGAGTGAGATTGTGTTTCAATATTTTACATCCAGGGTCGGTCATCGTGCATGCGACCTATAGGAAAACATTTAGACATTTTGTAATATCGTAACTGTCACAATGCATAGCACCTAATAGGTACGCGTTCTTGTTGTAACAGGTATTTTTCATATATCATACCTGTTCCAAACTGTTCCACACATACATACATACAGGTGGAGTTGATGAAAGGGTGTTAATTGAAAACGACACGAGGTCACTAATCCAAGTACCTAATAACCGCGTTCGTTGTTGCTCGATTTCGGTGATCGAACCATTTCCATTACTCTGTTTGTTCTATTTATCACATTACAAGCTTTCACTTTCTTACTCCTGGTGTCAGCTTGTTATTCAAAGATGCAAGTTAAATTTGACCCACTTCACTTCCAATCTTCCGATTGTCTTGAAATTTGGCAAGTGCCGGTGACATTTCGTACTGATATTATTATTTAATGTAAAAAAGAATAGCAGATCTGATGTGGCGGACGATTCTTGTGTTCATAGTCCAATGTCCAATTCGAATCAAAATTGGTATCTATATTTTTTTCCAAAAAACAACTTACATTATTGAACATTCATGTACGTCGAGCTCATACGTACTCGAATGTTATGTCTTCAAGACGTCTTTCATGCGTCCTAGGAGGAATGACGTGAATCGGACCTAAACTGCACGCCTCCGAAATCTACATTTTTGAACGTTTCACAGACATACACGAATGTACGTTCTCAAGACGTCTTTTATACGTCCTTGGACGTAAAGACGTATTTCGGGCGTAACATTTACGTCTTTAAGACATCTGGTGCTGATTGGGATGTAGAAGTATCTGGGAGGTTTGAAGAAGTTGAATGAATATAGGTATGTTCGCAAAATTGACCGTCCGGAACCATCAGAAGCATGCGTGGTGGCAAAGAAGTGTTCGTGTTTTCTAAGAACTGTTTCGTATTCCACAGATTTTGTGTTTCCGTTTCATTCGAACGAGTTTGGGATAATTTCGAATCGGTCCAAAATAGTTCTAGCCTCTGGGCAAGAACTGTTGATGATGACTGTGAATGATTTTGGTTGGAAGAAGGCACTTTGAAACAATGTGAATAGTGAATTGAACATAAATAAATCCGAGAATATTATACAATGGGCAGATGAGCTGCAGATCATCGTCCTCTTCAGGCTGTTGAACATATTATCTGTTGAAAATCCTCAAAACCCGTCCGGAAAACGGAAAAACGACTTGTTTTAGATTAAATTTGATGCGCACCTGACTCCAGGATTTCACTCAGACAGGCGACGTTTCACTATCGGTGTGGAGGCTTATCACAACTCTAGACTTGTACTTCAATTTTATTTATAAACACGAAATATCACTTGTTGGTGCAATAAATCCTTTTCTTTTATTTACTTTTTGGTTGGTTTGCTCGTGATTGGAAATAGGCCTCATTGACGACAATTTCAAAAATGATAATCTACCAAATCCCAATATTTGAAAATCTAGTATGCCTCGAAAATGTTGCGAAACTTTTGGAATATACCTACATATGAATTCATACAGTTCTTTCAAATGGAAGTAGTCGTATATATTTAAATTTTTTGAATTCATATATCTTTTGCTCGTTGTTCTTAGTTCATTTCAATGTTAATAGTAGTTCGACATTTTTTTTGTCATTCTACTTGCCTATCTGATTTTACTAATATTATTCAATATGCTTATATTCTTTCATCCTACTCAATTTGTCGCGACATTATTATATGCTCAACGGAAATGCTATTTCCTACTCATATGTGCCCGGATTTATTTTATACCTATTTTACTCGTTACCTATAGAGAGATACACAAAGTGGGTAGTATAAGGTATTTATAAGATGAAGGATGGAGCCAATAGAATATAGAGAGTAGTGTTATTTTATCCATAACTTCGGATGATTTTTTTAAGAAAAGAAAAATACGAATGTGCCCTTATGCAATGGTGTTCAAAGAGACCACTATGTATTTCACATAAGCTTGATACCCTCCTATTTAGACTTGAATTTCACTGTTCTGAACATACGCTTAGTTATTTAATGTTTTAAGTAGCAAATTCAAACCCAGCACCTTCGTAAAGTAGTGTATCAGTTGTTATTATTATAAAGTCGTAATTATCATCATTAATTATTATTATAGGTAAAAACTTTCGAATAAATGACACCCTCTACAAAAATTCTACTCAACTGTGGAAATAAATCGAAAACTCAGTTGATCAGTTTGTTTTTATTTCTGCTAATGATAAAATGATGCTATATAACATCATTGATTTCAACAGCGGTAATGACGTCATCAACAACATCGAACGAAGGAAGACATTGGCCCAGCGTGGTTCTGGGAAAAATCAGATCACTTTGGTCGGCAGGATCTTCTAGTTCCAACACTGGCCTCAATCAACTAGTTACATCAGGCACGAATATGTTTTAGAAGTTTGCTATTGGTGTTCTCTTTTTGTTTCGTTTTATTTTTTCGTTTTTCTCTTGTATTCTTCGTTACAGCATGACTTTTGTTTTTTTTGTGGCACTGCATTTTTGACACATTCACATACTACACAAGTACAGAAGCTCCAACCAACAGATCATTGTCTCAAAATGAACTTTGGTCCTTTGTTTAAGTTGGCTTGTAGTTTCATACCACATCAATCTACAACTTCGCACAGTAGTTATATCCACCAATGTAGTTTGATTAGATAAGGTTAATTGATGTGCTAGAACTTTATAAATTTGATTAGTAATCAGCTGTTATTCATCATTGAAAAAAAACTATCAACAGAGTCAACTTGTTTACGTCCTTATAGTTCAATAGGGACTTCAAGGGGTTATCTGATCTGAGCTACCTGCCCTTCCAGGCATGTGCAGCAGGCATGATTCGTGTTTTCTTTTTTTCAGGAAGATATATAACTTCAGCCTCATTCATTGGTGGATATAATGTGGAAAGCACTAACTGATTTTGGATGTTTTTCCAGAATATTAACAAAATCAATTATTCCTTTTAGATGACGAAGCCACTCTCAAACCCGCCCCTATAAAAAAATCATCCGAAAACGATATGTACATGCGACTGGGGCTCCTTTTGGGCGATGGTGCTAGGAGATCAAAACGTACTCAAGGTCGTAACCATGAGTCGTGCTCATCACTTGCTAGCTGCGAAACTTCTGCGATGTTATCGACGAATACGAGTCCAGTATCGACTCTAACTGGAAGCTCAGAGGATCAGCACAGAACCAACCCCAGTTCAGATAGCGTAGGATCGCTTATGTCTATGTCCATGTCTGGACAAAGCAACTGCAGTTCCAGTCCTGTTAGTAGAAGGCATAGTGTAACCAGTAAGTGTTGGATATGTTATGTTGTGGCTGTGTAATATTACTCTCGTTATATCGGTTGTAGCATCACAACCTGGCCATGTGGAAGACTTGAACCTCTTCAGAAATAGAAGAACATGCATACGAAGATCGGCAAGGACTGATAATGTCAAAGGTTCTGCAGACCCTCGAATACGTTTCAGGCAGTACAATAATCCACAGCTCACACTAAAACCATTGTTTTTCGAAGTACCTCTCCAAGAACCCGATCCTATATTCCTTGGAAGGCACTGGCTCATCAAAGAAATAGAAAATATAACGGGTACGTAGACACCACTACGATTTGTGATATCAACAATAACTGGTGGAATCAATGTTTTTCAGGTTCTTCAAGTCCTGGGGTTCTTATTACCGGCAATCCAGGAACAGGCAAAACTGCTCTCATTCTGCAACTCGTAGAATACAGCTGTTTTGGTCGCAGGAAAGAATCAGTATACCAATCAGTACATTCACCAGAACGATCTCGTAGTCCCCAGAGCATTTACTATCAAATAGACCTCGTCGCCGATAAGATCAAGAAGCTAGCTAGTACCATAGTAGCGTACCACTTCTGCCAAGCTGATAACAATAACACTTGCCTAGTACCTGATTTCATCCACTCTTTGGCAGCACAGTTGTGTCAAGCTCCACAACTAGCATCATATAGAGAGCACCTGCTGAACGAGCAACACCTTCAAAATATCCTATCTATCAAAGAATGTATAGCAAACCCTGACATTGCTTTCACCAGTGGAATTCTTGAACCTCTAGCTAGCTTAAGACGAGTGGGTAAAATTGACAATGCCAACTGTGTTATACTTATTGATGCCTTGTGTGAAGCCGAATATCACAGGCCTGATCATGGTGATACTATAACCACATTCCTAGTTAAGCACATGTCAAGCTTTCCTTCTTGGTTGAAAGTAGTAGGAACGGTGAGGACACAGCTGCAAGAACTGACAAAGCAACTCCCCTATACTAGGATATCTTTGGATAATGTACACTCGAATGAAAATATACAAAAAGATATTCTAGGATATATAAACTTCAGGCTGCAAAATAGTCCTACGATACAAAGTAATATAACGATACCTGGTGCGAAGCAGGAAAGCAATAGTGTGTCACAACACAAATTCTCGCAGCATCTACTTAGTTCTAGTCAAGGCTCTCTTCTATTCGCCAAACTCACTCTGGATTTACTAGAAAGAGGGCAACTGGTTGTGAAATCTTCAGGTTACAGAGTACTACCCATAACCTTAGCTGAAATCTATCTACTTCACTTCAATTTGAGGTTTCCAACAATACGTTCTTATGAGAAAGTGATCCATATACTCAGCGTTTGTTTGGCAGCACTTTATCCCTTAACACTATTAGAAATATATTATTCCCTGAATTCCATATTAGTGGATAATTTCTTGCCATGGAGCGAGTTCCTACAAAGATTCAAGTTATTATCTGGATTCCTCGTAAAGAGGTTAGACAATACCTATATGTTTTTCCATCCTTCATTCAGAGAGTGGCTCATAAGAAGAGACGAGAATGAGCCTACGAAGTTTCTCTGCGAGCTTAGATCCGGGCATGCAGGAATTGGCTTCAGACTCTCTCGGGTTCAGGCTCCCTTAGATCCTGAAAAAACTTTAGAACTAGGGCACCACATACTGAAGGCACATGTATATAGGAATATGTCGCTGCCAGCCATAAGTTCCAGGGATTTACAGGCTTTCTGGATATCCGAGAGTTCTGAGAATGTGTCAGCCGCTGTTTGTCACCTGAGGAATATCTACAATCCGAATGTGAAGGTTTCCCGATTGTTGCTGCTGGCTGGAGCATCTCCTAACCATATTACTGATTTTTTGGGGAATGCTCCTGTACTGTGCATGTTCTCCAATGAAGGTGAGGATACAAAATTAGTTTTCCGAATTCAACATACTCTCTTATCCCCACGAAGACTTTTCTTAGCAAACGCTCTTCAAGGTTTACATCATACAGTATGCCAAGTAACTGTAAGAAAATACAGGGAGATAATTTTTCAGGGGTCAAGCTCTCTTTCGAAACATAGACTTTTTTGTTGAAAATTTTAATAGAATCTAACGAATTACAAAAGTGATCTTCTTCTTCTTCGATTTCCAATAATGGTCGAAGATGCGTGAAAATTACAAGAGAAAAGAAAGTTCATGAACAAAAAAACCTGTACTGCACCACAAAAAAAGTTTATGAAGTCGTTATGGGCTTGACCCCTGAAGAGATACATATCTGTAGATACTGTATGATATAAACCCGAAAACACAGCCAATGGTCTGAATATCACTAAACATGCAAGAGCTTTACCTAAGGAAAGGATCGGTAACGAAGCGTTTGCGGCTACATGATTATTAGTCTTATTTTGAACTGAAAAATATGCTCCTGAAATCGTGATAGTTAATTTCGAAACATTTTGTATATGCCATATCACACACAAGTTCCTTGAAACATTGTCTTCCATATTATTTAGCATTATAACCAAATCCAAATGAGGTCTAATAATTTCATGATATTAGAGAGGCTTAATGAAATGGGTTCGGACTCATGTACTGGAAAGCATGCGTGCAATGAAAAATGAAGCAACTTTGTGAAATATATTGGTCTTTTCACATTCTGAAAAGCTATTTTGAAGGAAATAGTCATGGGCTAGTTGCGACGCCACAACCTGCTATTGATCCTTATTTCAAAAATGATGATATTTTTGACATTCAGTCAACCATCAAATTATCAATTACAAAATTAATCTATCGATCAAAGTTTCGAGAGTCACACATTTCATTTTGTGAGGTTGTCTATGAAAGTGTGAATAGTCAAACGTGAATAAAATTGGCGTCCCTGTCAACATAATTTATTTCTGTTAGATCTAGAATTGTTGAATTGTTATTTATTGAAAATAAGAGCAAAAATAACGTTTTGATCCCTTCGATATATAACTGATGCTGATAACAAATAGCACAATATGTCTAACCATGTTCAAATGAAATAACATGGTCATGAGGATCACCGTTCATGTTAATAAATAAGAATGAAAAATGGGGGAATAAAGAAGATCTGATAAAGTAACAAGCAAATCCACCAGCTGATCAACTGCTGCTGATTACTGAAGAAAATCAATAGAACGTGTTCCGAATTACTGTATTTTTGATTTCATATTTCGATACACAGATATTCAGCAGAGTCGGTGGATTTACTCATAGTACCGACCAGTTGAATTCGAAATATAACCTTTATTTCCGAACTACCAGTTTGAGTAACTCCTACAATTTTCGTCCCCAGGCATCGTCCCCATGGTATCCCTCCTCCTCGAATTCGGCGCCGACGTCGAACTGACCAACAGCCAGGGCTGCACCGCCCTGGCCCTCGCCTCCGCCAAGGGCCACTGCGACGTGGTGAGGCAGCTCATCGCAGCAGGCGCCTCTCCCGGCCACGCAGACACCGCCGGCCACTGCCCGTTGGGCCACGCGGCGCGCAATGGCCGCCTCAACGTCGTCGGGTACCTGCTGGCATGCGACTGGGTGGGGAGGGGCGGGAAAGGGGAGGACGTGGGATTGGCGGAGGCCGCGCAGCAGGCGCTCGTGGCCGCTGCCGGGCAGGGCCACGCGGAGATCGTGGAGTATTTGCTGGATATGGCGGAGGTGGACGTGGATCTGGCCGATTCCATTACGGGTGAGAATCATCTACTCATTGTCAATTTTAAAACGGATACTTCCTATAAATGATGGTATCAGTTCAAAAGTGCAGTCAGTCATACTTAGGGTCCCTTGATGGAAATTGACGTTAAAGTCATTGACCTAACCTAACCTAACCTAACCCTTCGTGACTTGACGAAATCGACGTCATCTGCTATACCGAATTATTAAGGTACTCTAGGCTCTGAGGACTGAATGTCTTCATTCTCTCCCTTGCGTCCCAGGACTGATTTCTCCGGCTGCTCGACCTATACAAGTTGGCCTTGTATTATTATTAATTTAACTAGAGGGTGATAACAGGTTGAAGAGTAACTTGTTGATGATACAAATAATATAAATTGGCTGGAGGAAACAATCAATTACCTGAACAAATTTGATTTGATAATAACAGTAATAGTAACAGAATATTATTCTAGGGAAACTATCAAATATTTATCCACAATCACTTTATAATTGAAGTATCATCCCTACTTATGAACCGTATGAAGTGCCACCTCATCCACTAGTAAAATGATGAAATTACTTTATTCCACTAATGGATAAATCAAAAATATAATCTTGAATCAATCACATTTCACCTATTTATTTTTAATATTAACATTTATATTGATAATCATTTCGTTCTTTCTCTTATCGTATTTCACTTCGTTTCTATTAATAACAAGCTGAACAAGCTTCTAGTTGTCATCGTTTCAAGAACGCTTAGTGCCTGTCGAAGTTTTCGATAAAACTCTAGAATCAATGGATGTCACCTCTTGTAAGGAACGATTAGTACCAGGAGAACCTTGGGTTGTTTTTGCTATATCAAGCTCATTAGATTCAAAATCCTCGATATTACTTTCTACTACAGCTGAGCTTATCCACCCACCATGTCGTTTAATTGTTGTAAGATCAGCACCTTCATTAGCCGATAGCTATAAGCTTCTGCGTCGCTCAGATTGAGAAATGAAGCATTTTATCAAGGAACTTTCGACAAAGTTTTGATTTCAACATGTTCTGAAGGTTCTGATTAGTGTATGGTGGAAACTATCTTGTAGGATAACTTCTCTGAAAGGATTAAGTCTCCACAATATTGATAATGATTCCTGCTAAAAGGTGAGGAGATATCATTCCCATGATCATCAAATTTTATTTATCGCAGGCATTCGTCATTATTTCTTCCACGTGTGTTCTTTCTAATACTGCAGCTTTCTTTGCCATGTATCCTCTAGACTCATCCTTCAGGTAGGCAGTGAGCTTCCTATATTTTCCAATATCTTTGTTTTTATAGAGACCCTAACAGCGGCCTTCAGCATCGAGTACTTCGAACACATGGATGAAATAATAATTTTCTATTCAGTTCCATTACCTTGATTTGATTTGATTCCTGAGAAGTGCAACACTTTGTTCCAGAAGTGGGTCGTTGTGAAGCACTAGTTGATCAGCTAGTCTTCTTTCTATTCTCTAGATACCTTTCTAATGGAGATATTTATTAACAGGTGAAACCGCCCTAACTATCGCCGCAGCAAACGGGTGCCACACAGTGTGCTCAGCACTCATCAACAGGGGTGCGAACATCTCTACTACCAACCGAAAAGATCTGTCACCACTGCTCTTGGCAGTGAAAGAAGGGCATTGGGCGGTCGCCGAAAGACTGATACAAAACTATGCGGCCATTGAACAATGCGATTCTGTTGGTCGGTCTCCCCTCATGGTTGCTTCTTCAGAGGGACACTTAGGAATCATCGAGCTATTGTTAGATCGAGGTAAGATATTGTCTTATATTATATGCTTTTCCATCACTAGCCCTACCTAAAACCTAGATTTTTTCAGTTCTTGAACTAATAGTTGATAAAGTTATAGCACATATTATATTATTATCAATTCAAATTCACATAGGCAATGCATACCGCGGGCTCGAAGTTACCAAGTTCCAATTTTTGTCGAAATGCGAGAAAGAAGCAAGAAATATAATTCACCTGTTTGTGCAAGGGAAACTCTTCATAAAATAGCTACTTATATATCAGCAGAACAAAGATATCCATTTCCTTCCGCATGTGAAGTTTGATGTCCGACGCGTATCGGATTATACATATACGATTTTACCCACAAACATACAAATTTGAATGAGACATTCTCAAAATTGTGCTTCAGGAGGTCTATTCTGAGGTTTAATATGCTAATTTATATTCGCCTCATGATAATGATGAAGACACTGATTATTTGGATTACACAAATATTATTGGTATATCAACGTCAAGAAAGTATGGTGAAGCCAATTCATTTCACCTCCCAAGAAAGGTATCATCTCTTTTCCTCCCGTTGGGTTAATTGAGAACTTTCATCGAATTACCTAATAATGATGAAGATACTGATTACTTGGATAACACAAATATTATAGATATATCAACGCCAAGAAAAAGCAAGCTGAAGCCAATTCATTTCACCTCCCAAGGAAAGAATCATCTCCCACCCCTCGTTGGGGTTAATGGGTTGATTGAAAACTTTCATCGAATTACCTGTACAGTTTTGTAGAAAAAGCACATAACCATTAACCATGCTCTATACAACCGTATTCGAAATATTTGACCTTCACTAATATCTTGCTTCGGCATTTTTCAATAGCAGATTATCACAAAAATATTTTCATCGATTAGATACTTCTAGTTGCCATTCTGTAACTGAAGAGAGATAGTTATTTTATGCAGAAAGTGAGACAAAACATTTTTATGATTTTCTTCTTCTGAAAATGATGAGAAATCGCTATGCAAGCTTTTTTGGGTCCATCTATACAACTGTTCATTGAGGCTCAGTTGAAGGATATTGTTTTTCGAAAAAACTGAACAGGGTAAGATTGAAATCAATTGAAGATTGATCAGTTTGGTAATAGGTGTGGAAAATAGTCACCAGTATCGCATAACTGCGTGGAATTACCGATTTCACTGTTTCTTAGAAGAACTGATTTTGAAAAGGCTTGAAGTTAGTTGGCTAATGACATTGATGAATTATTTCGTCAATTCACCATCATATTTCACCCAGAAAAATTTAAGCATTTTATGACTCAAATCGAGTGTCATTCATTGAATATAGTGTCTTTTGTTTATGCCATTCATAGTTAGTTTTCAAAACGACGGGTTTCAGAAGTTGTTCAAGCTCTAAATTCACAATCATCAACAATATGTGTACTAGTTCTTGAACAGACAGAAATATATTTAAAAAATACATCATTTCAACACTCTGACTGCCATGTCAGTCATTTTTGTCCGACAGTCTGATCTCGTGCTGAGCAGAAGCATTTTCATTGGTTCGAACGTGTCAGGCCACGCGAAGTTTTCAGAGTAGGCGGCATCTAAGTGATCAGCATATTGCTGCTCAGACATTGTAAAGTCGTTCTGGTGTACAGAAGATCATGAAAGGATGTCAGCTAAAATCGACGCAGCCTGACAAGGCAATTTTTTCAATGTATATAAGTAAAAGTGCATGATATACTCCTATTAGTTATTCATTTATCGATAAACTCACAGGGGTTGAAACATCTGCTATAACACCAAAAGGATAAACCACCGAAAGCTAGAAAAATTGTTCAATTCGTTAAAAAATTTCGTGAAACAATATGTACCAGAAAGGGGTAGAGGTGAAGCTCGAGGTGAAGAGAGTGCGGACGCATTGAGAAGGCTGCCAAGAGATGCCTTCTATGTGTATTGAATGGCATGTGAACATCCATTTGAACTATAATCAGATTTAGATATGTTCATGAGTTTTTTCAGATTTTTTTTCAATAAACGTTCGTGAGGCATTATTGTAGCTATAAATGTCATAGTGAGAGCCACAAAAAAATTCAGTGATGGAGATTTGAATGCATCGTCGGTCGTTTTCGCATGACACGGCTAGAACTGAAACCTCTGCTGTCGGGTAAAAATCACTGCCAAGCACTGTTCCTCATAAGTCACCGTCGGTCACATAATATGACTGACAAGGCCTGTAATAGAGAGAGAAAAACAGGATCTTGGCCATTCTTGGCTGACAGAGTGTTGAGTAATTAGCGCTCTCAAAATATACATTATATACATTGATTTTGAAGGATTATTATCACAATGGGTGGCAACGATGTTCTTCACAACCACATCGTTCAAACAACTATGTTCTTGCAGGTGCAGATATAAACAAAGAAGATCGCGAAGGTCTAACCTCCCTCTGCTGGGCCTGCCTCAGGGGCAAACTCCAAGCGGCCCAGTGCCTCGTGGAACGCGGGGCAGACATCAACCACAACGACAAAACCGGTCGCACCCCCCTGGATCTGGCAGCCTTCCAGGGCAACCCCACGCTGGTGCAGTTCCTGCTGGACAGGGGCGCGTTGATCGAACACGTGGACATCAATGGCATGCGGCCGCTGGACAGGGCTATCGGCTGCAGGAACATACAGGTCGTTCAGTGCTTCCTGAAGAAGGGGGCTAAGTTGGGACCAGCTACTTGGGCCATGGCAGCAGGCAAACCAGATATCATGTGAGTTTTCTACTCACATACTAATATTCATTAGGAGTCTCGCAACAAGACGAAAATCTCTTCCTGTGTGATCTGAAATGAAATAAATGCCGACGCAAAAGTTGTACGCGGCACGTTCTAAAAGCTGCATTAGGACTTCACTTTTAGACTTCACAAACGATAAGATTCTTCATAATTCTTTTAAAATTATGACATGTTTTCACTAACAGTACTAACAGTAGCTTCTTCAAGTGAAATACTCGTAGAATGAATCATCCTTATATTTATTTGCCTAACTTTTATACAAAGTGGGCCAAAGAAAACGAAGCAGACTGAATTACTTCCGGAAGAATGTGTATTTGGAAAAATAAATGCTGAAATAGGTCAATTTTCAATTCATATCGGGCACACATTTTGTATCATATTTTATCTCCATTTGCTACATATCATTTTACTCTCCTTCACATTGCTAACCAATATAATTTCACTTGGGAAGGTATGCCACATAATCGAAAAGGTAATTTGATGAAGAAATCGGTAATATGAATATAAATGAGATTTCGCTCAAATTCAGCTCCCTCTTGCGGGATGAAAAAATGTTATGTAACCCAATGTACGGCACTGGAGGAAAAAGCTGACTTTATTGGTAATCCGATGAACTAGAGATTATACTATATTATGAAAATCCACTGTTAATAAATAGAGATTTCAGTTTTGTTAACGCTGTAGTTCAGTAATATTCTGAAATGATTCTAGTTAATGTTTGCTTCAGTTATTGTAATGTAATTGCTGCGTTATATCGATGATAAAATCAACTTTCAAAAGTTGGAGATATTCAAACTGTCTTCCATGAAATTGAAAATCGACCTATTTCAGGGTTTTCCCAAATAAACATACTCCCGGAAATTATTCAGTCTGTTTCATTCATTGGCCCAATCCTTCATTTCTGAAATTATGCACGATATATAGATCAAATTTCGGAATGACGAATTACCATCAAAGGGTTGATAGAAGATAGAAAAATAAATTCAAAAGTGGTGAACTATTGATTATCGTCAAGTTAAATTCTTTTGACTACTATATTTGTGAAATTTCGAAATTGTCTTCAAAACTAATTCGAAAAATCATTCATTGGCCAGACAGTTTACTCTGCCTCGACATAATTTAAGCTTCAAATTTATTGTCTAGTGTTTGTTTCTTGTTAGTTTATCATTTGTAATGTTGTCTTCATTTATCAACGTATAAGTACTTGTAACTTAGTAATGACTCATATTTATATTATTCGATATTTTTTCATATTTTACATTTTGATCGTCCATGCTTTGTTACGAGAATCTCATTCTTAAACAATAAAGCACTTTTTGACTCTGACTTTGACTATATTCACGAACGTCGAATGAGTTTTTTCAAAGAGAGAACAAATGCAATGTACTCTCAACAAAGGAGTTTTGAAACATGTCAGGTTTTCAGGAAGTTTGGGAAAAATCATTTGTGACATGAACATTTATCATTGATTTCCATCGAGAAACAGCCAAGTTGATTGAAAAAAATATGATTCTTGTCTGATAGCTAACAAGTCACTTTGCTGATAACTGCTTATTCTGCTAATAGTAGCTTGAGTGTCTCACTCTTATTGTGTAGCTCATCTACTTGTGTGACCTTCTAGTTAATGAAACCAAATGAAACATAATGTTCCAAGATTTTCGCCAAAATATACCAATTCGAGAAGGATTATCTAATAATGTATATCTCTTCAGGCTCATACTTCTCAACAAACTTTTGGAAGACGGCAACATCCTTTATCGTAAAAGTAGACTCCGAGAAGCAGCCCATCGCTACCAGTATGCCCTCAAAAAATTCCCTACAGAAGACCAGGCAGAACATAACAAGACCTTCAATCAACTAAAAATCAACTTCTTGCTGAATTATTCCCGATGTAAAAGGAAACTGAACGTAAGTGTGTTATTGAATACCAGTCAATCCATACTGCTTCACTCGATTATGTCAGTTAATAATTCAATTAGTTCTAACTAGGTAATATTTTGATTGGCTTTTATTTCAGGAACCAGAAGATGCTGTTGAACTGGCCAACCAAGTCATTGAAATGAAGCCCGACTCGTACGAAGCCTTCTACGCTAGATCCAAGGCAAAAATCGACATGAGAATGTACGAGAGTGCCTTGAGTGACGTCAAAGAATCCCAACGTCGAGCGCCATCTCAAGGTAGTGAGATGAAAGTACTGAATTGCCTCCTAGAAGAAATAGCTAATAAAATGTCTTCTGCAAGAAGCATATCACATCAAAGAGACTTTGCTATTTCTGTAGATACATTACATGAATAGACTAGGAATATTTGAAATTATATTGAACGAGTGCCTTATGGAGTGCATTATTTAAAAGACTGAGTCAAAATTGAATATTGTGAATATAGGTACTTTATAGGATACGTATACGCTCTGTATATAACTTGATTTTATTTATTTGACTGTTGATTTTTGTTTTTCTTCGAGATTTTTCTCATCATTCCCGTAGATACGATTGTTCAGATTGTTATTTATTATTTCAAAGATTTTTTTATGTAAAAAATTCTCTTATTCGGATAGAAACATATTTTTCAGGTTCATAAAACAAAATAATGTGATGTTATGTTCCTATCAGATTTTTATGTTCATCCATGATTTAGTATACTCTGGTTCTCTTGTCACTTCATCACCAATAATTTTTCACTCAATTCAATTTGTAGATATATCGGGTGATCTGAATTTTCGATTTCTGGCCGTAATATATTCAATAATATGAATTTTTTCAGCATGATACAATGCTGAATTCATACGTGAACTTTTTCCCTACTTATTTTGTACATTTCAGAATAAATCAATATAGCTTTATGTTAGTTGTTCCTTCGTTATTTTTTATAGGTGAAAATTCGATACAATGCAATTCATTTAATAGAATAGTTTTAATTATTTGTTAATGATTATTACATGAATATCTGCAAGTTGTGTATTAAATACTTGATTCTTGCCAAGCATTTTTTTATGTACATCCAATTATATTCAGTATTTTACAAGTTTTGGCAGTACAACTGTGTTGTGTGAGAAATGTTTTATTTATTGAGTAAGATTATAAAGGTGCTATATCTCCCAGAAAATTGTATTTTGATGAAATGCAATAAAGATTATAATCACTTGTTCTAGACTATCATTCTCAGAATAAGACTTCCTTTTTTCAGTGCAATGATATGGTTCAGAATTATCCAATTTAGTGAAAAGTCATTGGCCAATATACACAGGTACGAAGAACAAACCAAGAAACTACCGAAATGGTGTAAGGTAATACGTTTGATTTCAATTTCATGGTAGATCGTATGGGTTATAACTCATATACAGGGTGTCAGATGAGTAATGGATCAGAAGAAGTGGGGTGGTAGGAGGGGTCATTTGTAATCAAACTTATGGTAAGTTATTCAATTTTTCTGAAAAATGCGACCCATTATGAAAAAATTCATAACAAATAGGCTGTTTTGAATAACCACATATGTTATATACTATTTCGGAAACTGTATTAAATGGGCAACTTTTTTTTATGATTGGTTATCTTTGTGGGGTAGTTTTCAAATCTGCCAGCGGCATTTAAAAATCGACTTGAATATTTCATTCGCTGACAAAACTCAAGGAAAACTAAATTTTTCTCAGGTCAGAAGTATTACATGTCATAAAATGATTTCTGAGGAATGGTGCATCTTTGTGGATGGAATCTGTGAAAGAACAAATCACAAGTGTGACATAGTTTTATTGTTATTAATTATTTTTATAGGAATGAAAAAATATTAAGGCTAGACATATGTCATCGTAAGTCGTTCTCTGAAAATTATTTTGAAAACTTCACACCAAACATTTTCAATCAATTCAAAGCCTGTATTTCGTATCGTTACCATAGCAACTAAACTAATTTCTTGGAAATTTTTCCTCCTCCTTGGGTGACGACGCATGAAATTAGACAGGAAAGTTTTTGACGTTTATAGGTTAAATGACATTTACATTCAACTTCCGATTATTTCGAGTTCATTCTATGAGTCAATAAATATAAATCATTTATCAATAGTTTACCACATAATATTATGTATATATAGGTATACTTGCAAATTCGAAATTCACAAAAACACATGTTGTTACTATATACGTTATAGTTCTTACATTTCATCACAAACAACCATCAACATGTAAATTTACTTACCGAATACCACTTCAGCTTCAATTAATATCCGGGAATTTTTTCTCGAACACGAATATTTTGAAAATTTCCAATATATTCGTGTTCTCGGAAAAAAAATCCGGAAATTGAACCACATATCATTCAGAATATCAGCAGATTGATTCGATCATCATCATCAATTGATGTTATCCTCGTTATCACTATTTTAGTAGGTACCTACTTCATATAGGTAGGTAGGTGATATCATTTCATAAATATTAAGTGGTTGGAAGAACCTCTGGCAAAAGTAAGTGAAACTATGAAGTGCCTCGATCATATCATTCCTTGCCCTTCAAAGAGTGTGGAAACACTTATCATCTTGTTAAACAGCTGAACAAAAACTTGAAGCACACATTATAAAAGATGGAATGCCATTTTCCTGTACCCCTGTGTATACATCGATGAAGATATTTCCATGAAATGAATATTAGAATTTGAAGCTTCAACGAACACTCGAAATGTCTTTAGGCAACTCTAATATAAATGGTTACCATCATTCTTAGAACTTTTGCAATTCGCTACCGAACAAGACATATTTGAAAACATTTTCGCGGGACGCCTCATGGACATGAAGGTATATTGTTTGAAAGAAACCTTCAGATTTTCAATAGCTATTCAGAGGTCCCATCTTCAATTGACGACATTGGCAGTCCCCGTGAGATTAACCCGTCGAGATGAGGCTTCGCACCCCCTCGTGGTCACTTTGGAGACCTGCAGAACATCTCTTTCTGAAGACCCATTCATCCAACGAACAGCAAGGCTCTGGAACATATTGCCAAGGAAAGTGTTCCTCGAGGCATATAACCTCCAGAAATTCAAGAAGAACACCAATTCCTACCTTATTTCCCTTGGTCCTCACGATGTTCTCTGAACATTACAGAATATCCCTTTTCGTGGGAACCAGAACATAAAGAAAAATTACGATTTGCGAAAGCTCATATTGCTACCGCACATAACAGAACTCCAGCTGTAGCAGTGCCATATATTCATATGATACAGGTAATCATCCATTGGTAGAATTGAAATACCTTGAAAAGATTGATCCTCTAGCTTTGAAACAATGCTGATTCCAAAAATGATACAAGTAATCAGAAGGAGAACTGGCTGTAGATTCCTACCGTCACCTGACAAAATGATATATGTCCTGAATGAAAGTAAAAACTTCTTAGTTCATCGAACGGCACCTGTGCCAATCACTATCCTGAGCAAAATGATTGGAAAATTGTACTTTCCTGTGCGGAAATTTGCACTCGATTTCGCGATTTGATAACGAGATAGGAAATATCCCATCCGATACCTATTGAAATGTAGATGTCGAAAACCTCAGTCTGAGCCAAATCCTCGGCACAACGATTTATTTGCTTCTATTATCTCGGACATAATTTCGTCATGTGATAATGAGTTGAAACAAAAAGCAAATTGAAGGAAAACATGCCCCATTCGCGAATATATAAACTTCTATTTATTTTCGACTTCTCTTCAGTTCGCGGTAATCTATCTCTCTAGTTTTCTGAACAACTATTTATTTTCTACTCCTTTTTGGTTTTGCTATCTATGATGCGTGAGCGTGTTTCATTAGTTTCTTGAAACAATATTGACAACATAGCTTGTTCGACATATATTATTGGATCCGTCATCTTGAATTTCTTAATTATGGCAAAAAAATCCTAATCTTCGAAAGGATAGAAATGGGGATAGGAATGGGGTATCAAAGGTCAACATGAAATAAGAATAAAAAGTTAGAATGGAAGAGTAAGATACAGGATGAGGCATACACTAAGATTGTATATATTAGGTGATTAAAATGGGAAATCAAGAATCGGGTTGCGACACTGTGACCAATGCTATAAGAGGAAGCAATGGAAGAACAAGAGACAGTCGAGGCAGCAATGGGAAATTTAACACAGGTTATCTGAGAATATAGAAATAGCAGATCAAGATCCAATCTGACACTCTCAAAGCCGGACTACAATAATGAAGCCAAATAGAAAATGAAGTTCAAGTAAAGTTATGATTGGAAACATATTTGGAACATTGAACGCGGGTCTGTGACCAGGCTATACAAAGGTAACGTATACCAAAGGAAAATCAACAGCCAAGCTAAGATACTCAAAGACGGCATATATACAAGAAACTTTGGATGCGAAATTATAGGAACCAGACTGAGGAACTTGGAGCTGGAATGGTAATTTGAGAAAATTTGAATCGATGTTTAACGTGAAATGAGCATGAAAAACCATTTTCTTTCGGATTACTTCGATTGAAATACGATATATCCTGTAGTTTACTGATTATTTGAAATATTTCAATGAGAAAAAAAGGCGAGGCAGCCAGATATGCACGAATTTTCTCTGTCACGGAAGACACTATATATACCCAACTCATCAGACGCCCACCTCCTTTGCACAGAGGGATTATAGACGCCAAGTGTTGATACTCTCCCCTCGTAAGGGTACCTGTCGTGTTTCCATAGAGACGTAAAGGTGACTATCCTCTGTCAATCCCTTTTTAACCATTGAAAACTAGAACGTGAAAGCCTTCCAGATTGGACAGCAGGACCTTGGAATTTGGTTTGATTTATGAAAGACAAACTTTCTTGTGAATCAATATTGATCGATCTGACAAAATGAATATTCTCGACACGAAACTAGTCCAAGAATAAAATGGGCAGGTTGAGAGAGGGAGAGAATAATAGGGATCGAAATAAACATTGAATAATCGGGATGAAACAATCATAAGCCAGGTTATGAATGGAAACAGAACTGAAAAAGTTAACGCAAGGCCGAGATATTTTGAGTCATGCTATATGAAGTGATAGAAATGGAGAATCAAGAGCCAGACTGAGAGACTCAAAGCCATGTTATAATGGCAAATCAAAAGCCAGGTTGATACTTAAATCCAAACTATGATAGGAAATTTGTCGAATGGAATCAGGCATGAAAAACTGAACTTCTGGCGGAGTTCCTCTGAGCCAGGTCTGAACAGAGAATACGAATGAAGAATCAAGAGCCAATGGGAATTTGAGATCCGAACAGAGACACTAAGTGAAGCTACAAATTCGAACAACTATGATAGGCGACTGCAAGATATGGAAATTGGCAAAACCAAAATTCGGTTCTACTTTTCCTTGGTTGGTCAGTTTCCCTCTCGAAATGGTTCTTTGATTCAGTTTTTTTTTTCTCCTACATGCCTATATTTAACGAAATATGCCAATCCGTTAGTATGCTTCCCGCATCTGCAACTGATCGATACTAATAAGTAAATCCAGAATACCAGACAAATCGGGAATTTTTTGTAGTACGCAATATATTTCCGTATAGTTTATCTATTTATCAAAATATTCTAGTCAGAAAAAAATTCTAGGCAGGCAGATAAGCACTTCTTTTTGTTAGGAAAAAAATATGCAGGGTTATCGAGTTTCAAGGTATAATAGTCCAGGAACCACTATAACTCGATGAAATTGAAGATTACTATTATTATAATCTATCCCACAATCGCCAAAAACAGATGTTAGGCGTTGAAATTTCATTTCATTTCATTCAAAATCTCATAGATTTGACTCTGTTATTTTGAAGGTATGCTAATGTGATAAGTATGTATTATATAATTGTAATCATTACATTTTGAATGACATAGAAGGTGGTAGATATTGCAAGTAATGTTGAAAATGAAACTGACCAGTTCTCACTACATTTCCCTATCCTACTATTCCATATTTACATTTCACAATCATTCATCAACTATTCGAAATGCGAATTCAACTAGTGAATAACTTCACAATTCAAATGATAACGAATTTTAATTTGTAATCTAATGGATTATATCTGGACGTTTTTCAAAATTCCAGAATGCAGAGTGACATGATAAATAATTTTTTTTCAGTGACTTATCAAGGAACCGGTACTTTTCTTTATGTTCTGATGGCCTAAGAAAGTG